GCAAACACAACGTAAGGTGTTTGGTGTGCCCTTGTCCCTTCTGAGGAAGAAGTCAGATGAGACAGGGGCTTCCTCTAGCACTCTCACACTTAGTGGGCTTCCTGGAGAAGCATGGTGAATGCTGTGTTTCACAGTGTTTCCATGTGTTTGTCACTTATGCTGAGACTGTAAAATACATGTTTGTGTTTAGGCCTCAGTACCAATAGCCTTTTTAGGGTTGGTGGGACACAACTGCACCACCATGAACTGAGGAAATGTTTTGATAAAGGAGGATTTCTAAAGTTGAACACGGAGGATGTTCATTCCTCAGCCTCTGCACTGAAACTTTTCCTCAGTGCACTTCCTGGTGGCCTCATTCCTGATCCACACATGACTGAGCTGCTGGAGGTGTTCATGAGTAAGTTGAGATGCTGATGAGTGAACATTTAGTGTACTTGCTCCACATCCAAATAGATCTATCAAAATCCTGAGATCTTTATCTTGTAGTTTTCAAACTGAGAAAACTTCACCAGGCAGTGAGAAAAATCATGGACACCCTTCCAGAGGAACATTTTAACATCCTGTCCTATTTAGCTTACTTCCTGTAACGAGTGGCTTGAGAGGGTCGTGTCAACCGCATGACCACCACAAACCTGTCCATAGAGTTTGAACCAATCATTTTTCAGTTAGTGTACATCTGTATTCAACTGATGTTGTGTGTACTTCAGAGACATACAGTAACTTCAGGACTGAAGGGTTTTATATCCACCATTTGTAGGATCTGAGAAGAGTCAGAGATCAGTCTGATGGAGCATAAAATAAAGACGGATGTCTGGTACAATTATTAATTTGACATATTTTTGTTAACTTTGTGTGTTAAGTGTTCCTCAAGGCCCAGCAAATCTTGAGGAACAGGAGAAGTGCATCAGTTTCACAGAGTATCTCCTGGACAACCTCAAACATCTACTTCCAAACATGTACCCTCACGCATCTGTCAGCAACACAACAGTGAGTTTAGACTTATGTTTATATTTGTATTTGTGTTTATAATGTTGTGAATCTGATGAAATGATGATAAATAATTATTTTTTTTGGTTTGGTTCATGAGTGAGAGATTCAGAAATGTGTTTGTGTATATGATGAGGCAGACAGTGTGTTTGAGGAGAGAGGAGACATCACCATTGAAGAGTGTGTCCAGCTGCTGCCTCTCACAGAGAACAGGTACAGATGCTGAACACAAACACACACAGCAGACTGATGCTGTTCAGATCACACACACCCACAAATGTTCACACACAGTTATAGTAAAAGATGATTTGTGAAGTGCTAGATATTATACTCATGCCTGTGATCTGTTTGTCTGTTTCTTAAAGGTCCAAGCCACCAAAAGTTGGACAACTTGGGCGTCTCAAAAAAAGATTAACACATTTTTGGAGAAAGTTCGGCTCATGCACTGGCAGGTACAAAGTGCAAGATTTAAAACGTTTAACATTTTATGTATGCTGGTAAAACAAGGGACAAAGGTTTATTTTTGATTATGAAAATACCTAAAGGAAGTTTAAAAATGTACATTAAACTGTAAAGTACATTGGTCTTGAATGTGCTGTCTAAAAAGGTGTTCTCTGTTTTCTTTGTGTCTTATTAATTCCTTTTCCATAAAGCCCCTATAAAGAGAGTAAAGAGCCTTCTGGAGCCGGTGATGGACAAAAGCAACCAATGAGGGTCACCGGAAAACGTTGAGGGCCGGTGAGGGTCACTGAAGGACTGTGAGGGGTTGGTGACATTCACCTGAGTGCACAAATGGTTTGGTGAGGGTCACCAGAGAATAATGTGACTGGTAAGGGTCACCTGAAAACACAGAGTTGGTGAGGGTCACCAGAGGACATAGGACTGGTGAGGGTCATCTCAAGGCATGGAGAGTTAATGAGGGTCACCAGAGGACAATACGACAGGAGAGGGACACCTGAAAACACTGAGGGTTGGTGAGGGTCACCTGAAGACACAGAGGGTTGGTGAGGGTCACTCAATTAAAGCTTGTCATTTTCATTTAATTACTGTCTCTCTTGTTTTTTGTGTCTGTATTCTGCAGTCTTTAGTGTGTAATAGTAGCATTTTCTGCACTCAGATGTTTACAAATCTAAAAACATTTACAATAAAATAAACATGGTATTACAAAACAATAAAATTAAAAATGTATGACATTACATAATTTTGTTTATTTATTATATATAATAAAATGAATGAATGAATGAATGAATGAATGAATGAATGAATGAATGAATGAACGAACGAACGAACGAACGAATGAATGAATGAATTAAACTTAAAATCATGTTACTCTAAACTTAAATAGCAAGTGAATTACACAAGGAGCTGTCTTTATTGTAAGTCAAAGAGAACGTAACCCAGTGTACTCTTGAACATGTCATGAGGTTCTTACTTTCAGACGAATATTAGATGTTGCTGAGTGAATTTACTTTGAGGGACAATTGTAAAACAATGAAATCAAATAAACCAACAGATATTAAAACACATAACAGTAGTTCTCATTGTGTCTTATTGAAGCCAAAGGAAAATACTAACTAAATTAACTAAAATCTTTGTGAATAGTGTGTATGTATTTACTTTGAATATGATTATTATTTACACATTGGGATCTTTATGGAAGATTAAGTTCATCGGAAAGGCCTGTAGATGACACTGTTCACCACATGCTAATACTTAAATCATAATTTTTTTTTTCACTTCATATCATCACTAGATGCACGCTCACGCAGCCAAGCACACGCACGCACGCACACACACACACACACACACACACACACACACACACACACACACACACACACACAATTAAATACCTCATTACTTCAACTTAAATGGAGTAAATTCACATTTCTCATACAGATTTTTTTTTTTTTTTAACTCAATAGGTTTGTTGAAATCGGTTTCCTCAAATGGTTGGAGTTGCCTTAACTTATTAGGGTTTTACAGCGTAGTTTAAAATGTATATACAAATCAACACCAATGGCATGGATCATGGTTTAAACTAGACTTTAAAGGTTTTTTATTGCAGTATCAACAGGCAATTACAACAGATATAAATACAAAGAGATGTATGGAAGTGTAATATAAAATATTACAACAAAAGCAATGTGACAATTTTAAAGAAATATAATAAAGGTAAAGCAAAAGAAAGACAATGAGAAAAAAAGAAACAATAAATAAATAAGAGAGGGCACATGAAAAAAATAATACAAATAAATGTAGAATATTAAATAAAGTACGTCTTTAATAAGTTTTAAATGCTTTCTTATTATGAGACAATGTGATTATTTTTAGGCACAGTTTCAATTCTTGTTTAAAAAATACAAAATTTGGCTTACATTGAGTAGATTTACATTTATGTGTAAAAAAAACACTTTCCAATAAATAAAATGAGGTTTATACAAAGAGTTGAATTAAGGAATTGTTTTTCTAAAATATAGTCTATAGCCTCAAAAAAAAAAAAAAAAAAAACACAAACCTTTTGGACAATTAGAGAATTCACATCAGACAGGAAAGATTTAACAAAGGGACACTCCCAAAACAAGTGAACAACGGAGTCAGAAGAAGCCTCACAGAAAGACCAAGAGACGTTAATGTCATTTTTGAGTTTCTGTTTAACTATAGATAAAATATGTGTAATATTAAAATATATTTCTTTAATTTTATTTATTAAAAATTTTTTTGAGGGAGTGACTAAACCTATGACCATTTAATATCATCAAAAGATTGTTCCAATAAGAAATAGAAGAAAAAAGACTTTTACATGAAAAAGACATGAAAAAGACTTTTAAGATTATTCAGTTCTATATTCTTACTTGTTGCAGACCTATAAGAACAAGCCTAAATGTAATTAACCTACATGAACATTTAGCAGTTAGTATTCTGCCTACAATCTTTAAGTTACACTCATGCAATGTTAAAGCTGTTAGAATTATTAAATATACAATTATTATGGTTAAACTCAATCAGCTATTAAGGTCTACTACAGTAAAACACCGCCATCTAACGGTCAATAATATATACTACTACATTAACTTTAGAAACTACTTCGATTTATCTTAGCTCCTAAAACTGAGTAAATGAGAGACTTTGTATGTATTATTCATAATCTTAAACAAAATCTGTTCTCCAGTTTCTAAATAAAAGTTTATTTAAGAAATTTCATGTAATTACCCAATTGTAACGTATGTAGCCAATTATAATAACAATATATTATTATTATTGTTGTTGTTGTTGTTGTTGTAATATTATTATTGTACAACAACAATAATAATATTAATTATTATTATAACAATAACAACAACAATATGCGTGTATTATAATATAAAATGGATATTGTAATCAAATGTATTTATGACAGAACCTTTTTTTAAAATGTGTTTTTAACAACACAATCATATTAACCATAACAATGGATGACATCAAGTACAATAATAAACTAGGAAAATTTATAATAATAATAATAATAATAATAATAATAAATATAATCTACAGAGGCAAACTATCAAATTGAATATTATAAGTCCTTATAAAATTTCACAGTTTTAAGTTTTTTTCGGCTGTAAACATTTTGTAATTAAACAATTTAAGTCACAATGTAAATTATGCAACTTAAGTAATGAGGAAAATTTACATTTGTGAATAGAATATTTACCCAATAAAATAAATAAAATGCTTATAAATTTAATCAATCAATCAAAATCAATGTTAAACTTAGATTTTGTTGTAAAAAAGACGGATAAATCAGGCCAAAACACTTTAACATTGGACAAAAAGATCAATCGATTGCATACTTGAGTTACAGAACACACAATTTGAATTAGGATTATCAAATTTTGTTACAATCTCGTTTGTGGCGTAGATATTGTGTAACACTTTTAAATGTAATTCTTTAACTTTGGTGGGGACACAAAATTTGTAAGGTAAGAGCCAAGTTTTTTTCAATTAATTGAATCTTTTACGACGTAACCAGTTGCAACCTTGCAACGTCCATGATGTCGTCGGGGGCGTGGCTTAAGTTGTATGCCACAAAAAGAAAGTGGCTCTAACGGATCAGAAAATGTAATTGTTTATCTGCTGCTACTGAAATGACTCCGAAAAGACTTATTTGCTCGGTGATTTCTCGTTTACATCAGTCGAGTGTTTAACTGAAACACTTAAACATGTAGCACTTTTCTGAGTTTTGACGGTAATCCTAGGTATGCTAACAGTACTCGGCTAAATGTGTGAACTTCAGTCAGCTGTTTCTGGTTTCGAGCTCTTCCTGTCATGGAGTGCGCGAATATTTCCAAATATTCCTGGCTGGATTTGGCGTTCACCGTGATCGGCGTGTGCACCTATCTGTTTGACGTTGGCTCGGACCTGTGGGTCGCGAAGGAGTTTTACGTGCATGGAGAGTTCATCTGGTTCGGGGTCTTGGTGGGCTTCATGCTCGTATCATCTGTCACCGTTCAGCTTTTCAGCTGGTTTTGGCTTCAGTATGACCGCAAACTTGAGAACTTCGAGTGTCAGGAGTCCGCCGGGAATGCCGTTTTGTTCAGTGGAGCGAAAAGAGTCACATTTTCGCTGCTTTTGCACGTTTTCCAGCTGGGACTGTTTATCAGGTGAGACTCTGTAACTGTTTACTAATGATTTATTTACCTTTGTGTTTGAAATGTGTACTCAGAAATATTTTTAAAAGTTACTGTTTCAATTTACAAGTCTGTTTAACCATTTAACTGTCTGTTTAAAATACTGGTTTACACACAGCATTGTTGGTTTACGAAAAATTCAATCAAACATAATTCTATTGCACTACTAACGTTACACTTGACTTTGGTTTTACTGTAAAAACAAACAAAATAGAAAACATGTTAAATGATAATCAGAAATATTTTATGGCACAACGTTACTTAAAAAATAAAGATTATTTAGTATTAAATTTTTTTATATTTTAAAAAAATTAATTGTTCTACACTTCATATTTTATGATTTTTCTTTCATAGTATATTTCGGTACTTTTACCATAAACCGACAAATCAATTTTGTAGAGGTTGATATTTTAGAAATTATGGGATGTAGTGGGGAAAAATGCATTAAATGTGTTAAGTAGCAATATTAGGAGTTAAATGCAATCCAAATCTATATCTATCTATCTATCTATCTATCTATCTATCTATCTATCTATCTATCTATCTATCTATCTATCTATCTATCTATCTACAGGTATCTATCTATCTATCTATCTATCTATCTATCTATCTATCTATCTATCTATCTATCTATCTATATATATATATATATATATATATATATATATATATATATATATATATATATGTGTGTGTGTGTGTGTGTGTGTGTGTGTGTGTGTGTGTGTGGGGTAGTTAAAGGGTTAAACATTTTATAAAAAGAGACAAAAATAAGTATTAATAAAGTTTCTGTAAACATAAATGTCAAATTCCTAGTGGTCATGCAATAATCTACCCAGAGCTGAACAAACTCAGACAAGCTTATTGTGGCTTTTATAATAAATAGTGAGTAGATGTTCTTTCCTTTTAATAAAAATCTGTAGTCTAAGCATGCAAATCCTTTACGTTTGTAAATGCAAATTATTGTGGCTGTGGCAATATTCAGGCACTGCAGTTAGATGAGGATGTCATGGTTACTGCATATATCAATATCCATAATCATTCATATCACGATTGCAAGGTACTAAAATGATTTAAAAGGGGAAGTGGTATTTCAGTTGTACTACTACTAGGACCAGTTAATCGCAGAGTCATGTTGACATTTCCCCTGATTTCCTAACATTTGTGTTGCTCTTTTTATCTCACACTGGTAGATCTCATGACAAAACTGATTAATAACTCACATATGCAGCATGACGAAGAGTCACACTTCAAATGACATTGAGCTTTTTAAAGCAGTAAAGCATGTGATGGCATGTTTGTGGAATTTGATGTACAGTGCCTGCTGCTGTGTTCAGCTGTCATGAATGTAATAATTGAAGACCAAGCTTTCATTTACAGCCGGATGCTTGGGAAATGCAATACGGGTCATTGTTTGTCAAATCAGCCAGATTACAGAAATTTCCCAGGCTCAAATTTCCTGTATATTTTCTTTAGTTTTTTTCAGATGAAATAATATAAATAGTATATAAATAGTAGGGATGTGTCTATAAATAGTAGGCACGGTCTCGGAGTACCGTTTCCATGTCATGGTGGTTTGCCAATAATAAGTACCGATTCTAATGCTTCAAGCTTTATAATGCATTAAACACATTTTCCCTCTAAGTTAATAATTTATTACCTTAAATGCATTTTTTAATAACTATTTAGGTGTGAACATGTCACTTGCTTTACAGAAAGTCATTCATTCATTTTTCTTCGGCTTAGTGCCTTATTCATCAGGGGTTGCCACAGCAGAATGAGCTGCCACAGAAAGTAACAGAACACAGAAATAAAAGTTGGTAGGAATCTAAAGTGCAATTTGGAAACAATGCAAATGATGAAAGAAAAAATCTATGTGTCTCAATCAAGAAAACATTTGGAGCATGTTTGATGCATAAGTTAAAATGCAGACCTTTAAATCTAATACTTCTTTCCTAAAAGGAAATATGCATATAGACTACTGTTTATTGCAATAAGTATATTACAAGAAGTTATATTATTAAATATTCATGTTCTAAAAATTGTTAGGTTTATTTAATCTGAAAACTCCAGTCAGCTTTTAGTGAACTTGTAATATTGTCAAAAACACAGAACTTTCTGTGATTGGTTTATGAGATTGGCGAGTACCGATCAAGTCATAAAATATGATTCTAGGCTGATACCGATCTTCCACCGATCGATCTGTGCATCCCCTAATAAATAGTGTTAAAAATAAATATTTGATTGTTATTATTATGTATATTCACTAACTTACCCACTATTTTTTGTAGAAAGGATCAAAATGACATTTTATTAGGATTTGTCATTAGGAGACAAATGATAAAGGTGTAGCATTATTTTTCAACAGACCTTGTTAGCTCATTTAGTGGGGAGAAAGAACTTCTGTTCTAATGGTTGCATACCTGTAACTTGAGTATAACTATATTTATATATAATCTATTCCAGATTTTGGTGCATAATTTCAATAATTTTTGATCTTTATAAAAATACATTTTCCCACATTTGGGTTTTAAAGTAAAATTGTGAGGTTTAACAGTACATTAAATATACTCACATATTACAAGTGAGATATTTTTGAATGAAAGGTGCATTACTTGATTTTAAAATAATTGAAGGAAACCCGCACTATCTATCTACTGTCTATGATTATTTATTGAACATCAACTATGAACAACTAAAATTAAAACACACATTGCCTGAAACAAACAGTCACTTTTTCTTATAAAAATTTTTTTTTAAAATAACTATACTGCGTGTCTTTGGAGCGACTTTCTTGCTGTGAGGTGATCATGCTATCCACTGCGTCAATGTGACGCTCTTTAGAAAAATACTGTAGGTTAAAAAAAGGTATGACTACAGTACATTTCATATTTTTTAATCTGTTAACATTCAGTTTTGGAGAGCTTCAAAAGCTCTGTGAACCTAGACTACTTTTAACATTCAAAGTAGGGCTGCACGATATTAGAAAAATCTGACATTGCAATGTTTTGTTTTTCTGTGATATATAATTGCAATATGAATACAATTTTACCAGATTACTTAAACAGCTCTGTTTAGTAAGAATTCCGATACAGAAATTTTATATCTAATGTAAAATAGCACTGCATAGACTTCATTGTGTAAATAATTAAGTGAAATAATTTTATTTAAAGTTACATATGGTACAATTTGTTGTGCCTAAATGCTTTAAACTCTTGATATGTACACACAGCCACAGGCCTTAAAAACAGATGTAAATGATAAACTTTTGCTCCTTTATTGTAAAAATGCTCAAATCTTATTTAATCCATAATCTTCAAATATAATGCAAATTCATCATTGCAGATCATGCAATGTAACTTGCGGATGCACACATTCCTATATTGATGCTAAAATGATATATTGCGCAGCCCTAAATCAAAGTCCTGAAAGTTACTGAAAACATTGACAAAGCATTCCATGTGACTTCAGTGGTCCTTCCATAATTTTATGACGCCACAAAATTGGTTTTACATGCCAAAAACTAAAATAATGACTTTATTCAGCAAAATCTTCTCCTCCGCACCAGTTCAGGATATATGTTCATGGGAGTACTAAATGTCACTATGCTTGATGCCCATGTGCCACTATAAAGCAGCATTCAGTGTAAACTGAATTTCTGAATTTTTCTCAAAAATGCAACTTATTTCTCATGATTTTTATGCTTCCTCAGAATTTTAACTAAATATTTTCTTCATTTTAACTTTAAACTTACAGAAATCACAGTTGATGTCACAGTAAATGAGTTCAATTAAAAGTTTTAATTTTGAGGAATGTCAGAATTGTACGACTACTCCTTGAAATTCTTCTCAACAATTGTAAGAATTATTCTTGAAACTGCAGGCAGAAAATTGTTACTATCCCTTTTACATTTTTTTTGTGTGAAGATAATAATCCTGTTCAAAGGCCTTCTGAAACTTTGTGTTTCTCCAGGCACATATCTGCGATCTGTCAGGGATTTCGTGTGTGGTGTCATGGAGGTGAAGGCTCTGAATATGCGGTTTATCAGACTCATGACCTCAGCATGCTGCGTCTGATTGAGACGTTTTGTGAAAGCGCACCTCAGCTCACCCTTATGATGTACATCATGCTGCGCAACAACCACGCAAGGATTGTCCAGTGTGAGTAACCACACAACCACTTCGCTATGAAACTGCTGACATCCATTCAGCTCGAGGAATGGCCATCCACATGAAGCACCCATTATTGGTTACTTATGTAATAGAGGTTACATTACCACCACTCAAACTTCACACAGAAATGCTAACTAACCCAGCCGAGCCTCAAACCAGTGACCTGAGGTGAGGTGAGGTGATCATGCTACCCACTGTGCCACCGTGACGCCCACATGAACAAACAATTAGTGGTAATTTATTATGGTATTTATTCAGCTTTGTTAATGTTATTCGAGTTAAATATCGTTAGTTCACTCTCACAAGCACAACTGTGGATGTTAATAATTCATTAGGTAAATGTTACACTATTATTATTAAGTGCATTATGAGCTTATTCATACTTAATTAATGTTAGAATATACATTAACTAATAAACTGTTATTTTAAAGCTACCTAATGTTATTTATTACGTTGTAATATATATATATATGTGTGTGTGTGTGTGTGTGTGTGTGTGTGTGTGTGTGTGTGTGTGTGTGTGTGTGTGTGTGTTAATATTATGAATTAAAGGCACAGTTCACCCAAAAATAAACATTTAAATAAAGCTGAAAACATCTAACCATTGAATTCCAAAGTAGGAAAGAAACATGCTGTGGATGTCAATGGTTAAAGGTTTTCAGCTTTGTTCAAAATTTATTCTTTTCTGTTTAACGAGGAATGAAACTCATAAAGAATTGGAATCACTTGAGGGAGAGTAAATTGTGTAATTTTTTTTTGTTGTTGTTGGATCTATCTCTCTAACTTTTCATGTTCATTTTGTCATTAGTTTTAATTTTTGTTATGTGGTTTTGTCACGTTTATTAGTTTTTATATATCTATTTAGCTTTGATTTAATGTGTGTACTTTTAGTAAACATTTGACTACGTTTACATGGACATCAGTAATCTATTTATTTACCTTAATCTGAGTAAGACAAAAATATGTAAGTTGTTTACATGAGTTGCTTTTTGAATGTTCCTTTCATAATCCCGTTTCACTTGTTTTGGCATACAGATTGATAAATGTCATTGCGTCACCACACCACAATCTCTAGAGCACAGGTGTCAAACTCCGTTCCAAAAGGGCCGCAGCTCTGCACAGTTTAGTTCCAACCCTAATTAAACACACCTGATCAAACTAATTGAGTCCTTCAGGTTTGTTTGAAACCTACAGGTAAGTGTGTTGGAGCAGGGTTGGAGCTAAACTGTGCAGGGCTTCGGCCCTCCAGGAATTCAGTTTGACACCCCTGCTTTAGAGTTTCATGTAATTTCGGGTGTTTTATTTGTAATCTTTTGACTTTAACTGCAGTTTAGCAGTTTCACTTTCATTCAGAAACAATTCATCTTGCTCTCGTGACAAACTATTGAATGGTATTGAATGCGTCTATGTAGTAAGGACTGCTGGAATAGTACTGTTATAATGGAATTTGATACCGCACATCGAATAGAAAGAAAAGATTTCCGCATTTCGCAATGCGGGTGTCTGTGGTCCTTTACTGACTCTGTAAAAGCATAGAAAAGTCTCAAACAGCCGGGTGTATCCTGTCACAAAATGCGGTAAACAGTTCTAAATTACAGTAATAGTTTGATTTAGGTGTTTACAAATCTGTACTGCACTTCAATAATGCCACTAAAATAGGAATACTCTACATGCCTTAGACCAAATTCCAATTCTAGCCCTTAGCCCTTACCCCTACTCCTCATTTTGCGGGTTCACATGAAGGGGTAGGTGTCACAGTCGGACGAGGGGAAAAAGGAGCAAGGACTCAATTGCAACAAATAATATGGTTTTTATTAATAATAAAGTATAAATTAAACAAAAAGGCAAAACAAACCACCCTGAGGGGGAAAACATTACTTGAACACAAACAAACTTGGCTGGTGAGACAAGACAGGAGCATGAAACACAGGGGAAGTGTAGACGACGAACTGGCACAGAACAGCAGACATGAGGAGATTATAAGCAGGAGAAAATCAACACCCAAACAGATGAACATAATTAACTAATAATGGGTTAACAACTAGGATGGGACCAGACAATAGATGGGAGAGCACATGACACAGAGAGACAACACAAGCCATGCGCTCACATTAGATAAGACTAGAACACGCAGCCAATGAGAGAACTCATTAACAGCGCTTTACAATAACAGGACAAGACTGAAGCACGCGGCCATGCAGCCACGTGCTTGGACAACACAAATAGACGCAGGACACGAGCACACGATAGATGAACACCTTACCATGCACTCACACATATGCAATGCGCATGTTTCATCTCAGCGTCAACCAAAACCGAAACCAACTAGACGAAGATGCTGAGAATGAAACAGCGCGATGCACACAGAACAAAACACAAACACGAGTACAAGAGCGCGCACGTCCGAGGCACACAGAGCCCGCGCGGCCGCATCAAGCGGGAGCGCGCAAACTCTGCGCACACCCACGACGGCGCGCGCGCACACAGAGACACAAACAATGACAGAAACAGGACAAGACAGGGCTAGTGTCCGGACTCAAAACAAGAAATCACAAGACCAGAGTGGCAGAACCCTGACAGTAGGGGTGTCCCAATTCTCTTTTGCTTGAAGGGGAAGGGCTAAGGGGAAGGGCTAAATAGCCCTTGAATCAGAGATATTGCAGGACCACACTTCAAACCAAGGTGTATAAAATACACCATCTACATCGGCAGCGTGGCTGCAAACAGAAGTCAGGAGATGCACAAATTTGTATTTTTGTGCATACAAGCATATGTTTAAATACATTCATAACAGCGTTGGTGTTTTATCATCATGCTTTTTAAATAAACAATTAAAAAACGATAAGTTTTGCTATCTATAATCCATAATAATAACTTCTGTGTAGTAGTCCCACAACATACTTTTAAATTTGTCACTCGGTGACATTCGAATATCCTGTAAGAAAAGTCTGGTGGCACTTTTTACAGTGTCTGCTATAATGTTAATGTTGTTTTCATGTGTTTACATAAATGAATATAGCCACGGTGTAAATACACAGTCCAGTTACAATCTTATTGCCACTTTATATCGTTATGATAACTTGATGCTTTTGCTTCGGTGATTTTCAGAGGAAAAATACCTAAAAATAATGCAACTGCAATAACTACAGGAGTCGCTATCATCAATCTCATATATATACATATATATATATATATATATATAGTTATAGATATATGTGTGTGTATAAATATATATATATATATATATATATATATATATATATATATATATATATATATATATATATATATATATATATATATATATTTTTTTTTTTTTTTTAAGATCACAATGACATATGATGACGTGTACAGGTTTTGTTTTCGTGTCCCATTTCTCAGGGGTACATTTTGAAGCCCTTTCCCTTCACACTCTGTTTTAAGGGCCATGGGGAAGGGATAGGGATACAAAAATAGAATTGGGATTAGGCCTTAATTCCATTTCTGTTTAAGTTCGATTATGACTTTAGTCGAATTAAGGTAATCAGAAATCGCTGTTTTCATGCTTGACTTTTAATTATAGTACTGTCTTAATTGTATTAAAATCAGAGTATTGGTGTCCATGTAAACATACAGTTATGCCAACACAATTCATAACTTTTTGTTTTAGTGGCTAATTTGTATGATCTCATTTGTACAATTTAGTACAATTTCCTTATCCCCTGATGACGTTTAAGTTTAAGGGCGGGGTTGGATGCCATGCCTCCTTTTTAAAATCGTACATTTTCGTACAACTAAACTCGTAAGAATTCAAACGAAATTGCCACTAAACTGACGAAACATAAAATAGTTACGTTTCCTTGTCAGATTAGGGCTGAATATGCAAATTTATATGGTTAGTTTAATGTTATTACATTTATTTTGCCTAATTATATTTACAAGATCCAGCAGTCAAGATGCACTGATTTCAATAAAAAAGCACTGATGTGTCTTTTTAACAGGTGTGAGTGTGGTGGCCTCTACTACCTCTATGGCCTGGATGGTGGTGGATTACCACCAGTCTCTTCGTTCATTTCTGCCAGACAAAGACAAGCAAGGGTGTTTGTCTTCAGTGGTCTACTTCTTCTGGAACCTCTTTCTGATTGCTCCACGTGTGGTAGCAGTGGCTCTCTTTGCCTCCGTGTTGCCCTGTTTTATTGCTGTTCACTTTCTGTTATTGTGGTCTGTATTTGTGTTATGGGCCTGGAGGCAAGGCACTGATTTTATGGACAGCCCCCCTGGAGAATGGCTCTACCGGGCCACCATAGGTCTCATCTGGTACTTCAGCTGGTTCAACGTGTCAGAAGGACACACCAGAGATAGGGGTTTCATCTACCACATATTTATGATGGCTGACACCAGCATCTTTTTGACAACTTGGTGGATGTACCGCGACGTAGAGGCGACTCAATCATACGCCGTCAGTCTGATAATCGCAATCCCGCTTTGTTACATCTTAGGGCTAATGATAAAAGTCCTCTACTATTGCTGTTTTCATCCAAAACTGTGGCGGCCACCGGATTTGAGGGTGGCTGCTGATGCATCAGATGGATTGGAGCCGTTCAGTATTGTTAAGACTGTCGGTGCTTCTTTTCAAAGCATCAACAACAGGATGTGCAAACATGCTGCTAACTTTTACGTAACAAATACCTCCCGTGCATTGAAGACACATGAATGTGAAGCACGTATGTGAATGTGTCAGTACTTTACAAATGGGTCATACCTGTGTTTATCTTTATTCAATTTGTGAAATGTTAATAGCTAGTTAAAATGATAACGCTACAGTTCGCATGGATAGTCACTTTATGTAATAAAGGAATACTTCACCCAAAGTCAAGTTCTCATGACTTTCCCACTGTCATATTAAAGATCTAAAGAACAAAACAGATTTTGGGTGAGCTGATAAGCTTAAAACAGGACAAAACAACTTAAAGCCATCAAAGTGTTTTTCAAGAGAATATAGCTGTTATTTTAAACAAATGAAGTTTTTCGATGGCTATATGTTATTTAACAAAATATAAGCTGTTTTCTATGCCAGTGGTTCTTAAACTTTTTTCATCAAGTACACCCTCAGAAAAATAGTCTCTCCAAGTACCACCAAAATGAGCAGTATTGAAATACAGTAGCGTAGTAGGTCTAAGTAGGCTTTATGTCATATATGGCATATTATATACATCATTTTTAATAACTTTAGAAATATATGCAGCATGTACATGACATTTCATTCCTCCGCATACCTACTGTATAGAAAGAAGCCCGTGTACCACTAGTGGTACACGTACCAGAGTTTGAGAACCACTGTTCTTTGCGATTCATTCAAAATGTTGTACTCGCATGAAGATGAGTTACTGTGGAATCTGATTCAGTGAATATTTGACTTTTCTTTATTATGTAGATTTAAAATATAGGAAGAAATTGGTGCCTTATTCATGGTGCCATATTTATATATTTTGTACATATACATTCTTCTGCACCTTTTTATACAGTGGGGGAAATAAGTATTCAACATGTCACTTTTTTTTTCAGAAAACATATTTCTAAAGGTGCTGTTGACTCAAAATTACGAGATGTTGGTAACAACCAAAGAAATCCATATATGCAAAGAAAACAGTGTTATTTAGTTGACAAATTAAGTTTTGTGTAATGAAATGACGCAGGAAAAAAAGTATAAAACACATGAAGGATGTAAGGGAGGTATAGAAAAGCAGTGAAAGCCCAGACAGCAGCTGAATTCTCTCAGTAGTTGTTCAGCAACCGTCTGCCTTTTATCATTATAAATTTATATTGGTTGCTTTAGTCCAAAATGAACATTAGCAGGAGGATGAAAATGAAGCCAGAGTGGACATTTCAGCAAGACAATGATCCAAAACACAGCCAAGGAAACTCTCAAATGCTTCCAGAGAGATGTAGAATGGCCCAGCCAGTCACCTGACTTGAATCCAATAGAGAGGCATCTTTATGCCTTCACCAAAAAAAGCCTTAAAGTATTATATACATTTCAGTAGTTCAGTACTTTCTTCTTGTGTCATTACACATAACAATGTTTTTAGTTTTGTTATATTTTTATGTTTGTATGGTTTAGGTTTTATCAAAACCTGGTTCAATTCCATGTCAGCAGCTTCTTTAGAATATTTTTCTCAGAAAAATAATGACGTGTTAAATACTTTTTCCCCACTGTACACCCAATTTTCCCTTTAGAAATGTCTTAAAGTTGGCATGAAGTCAAAGTTTATTCTCATATTAAATGTAGTATTGCTTGTTATTTCTGTGCACCTCATATTCTCTTGTAAAAATGCATTTGCCGTCATAATCTTTAAGGAAATACCATAACCTTTCCTCCCCCTTTTCGAAATGACTTCACTTCATGTCATATGGATTGCCTTTATGTTGGGGCTACCTACTTTTTTTTTAGATTTTAGGATCATTTCGATTAGATGTCTGCCATGATATGTGAAGAATGTACAATATTAACTCCTGTTTCATGCCGACTTTAATATTTCTGGCATACAGTGCATCCGGAAAGTAATATAGTGCTTATTCATAGTATTCATTCAACATTTTTTATGTTGCAGCCTTATTTCAAAATGGATTAAATTAATTAATTTCTTCAAAATTCTGCAGTACAAATTTAGTTTGTTATGGTCTGAGAGTCCTTCAGGCGCCTTTTCACAAATTTCAGGCGGTGAGTGGGGGCCACTCCTGTCAGGCCACTCTACCATACAGGCCTGATTGGTGGATTGCTGCACAGATGGATGTCCTTCTGTAAGGTTCTCCTCTCTCCACAGAGAACACTGGAGCTCAGACTAGGTGACCATTGGGTTATTGATCACCTCCCTGACTAAGACCCTGATGGGCAAAAGACTGGTGTGCCAAGCTTTTGGAATCATATTCAAAAAGTACACAGTATTGAGCAAAGGCTGTGAACACTTGTGTACAAGTGATTTTTCAGTTTTTTTATTTTTAATAAATTTGCAACCATTTAAAAAAATCTCTTTTCCTCTTTGTCATTATGGGATATTGCGTGTAGAATTTTGAGGAAATCCATGAATTTAATCTGTTTTGGAATATGACTGTAACATACAAAAGGGTGGAAAAGGTGAAGCTATGAATACTTTTTTTCTGGATGTAATGTAATTTCAACAAGGTTTCAGTCCATGTTGACATGATATTATCATGCTGTTGCTGCTGATTTATTAGCTGCATTTCCATGTTTATGAATTTCTCATTTTGGCACATCTTAAAGGCGCTCTATTGGATTGAGATCTGGGGCCTCATGTACAAAGACTTGTATTGAATTCATTCTAAAACATTGCGTATAGACAAAGCTGTAAATGAGCATACGCAGTAAAAAATTCAGATGTATGAAACACTGCGTACGTGGAATCCCAGGCATATTCTCTTTGTACACCTGAATTAACGTGAAACTGAGCGCACGTGCATGAGCACAAAACCCTTCCCTGCCTCCTTCCCCATATAAATATGGTAATAACTTTGGCAAAACCAAACGAAAAAACAATGGCAAAAGCAAGCAAGAAGAGAAACTTCACAGAATGTGTATTGGAGGTGCTCCTATCGCAGGTAGACAGGAGAAGAACTGTGTTCTGTGTTATTTGCAAGTTTGTCGTCCAGAATTAATAAAAAAAAAAAAAAAAAAAATATATATATATATATATATATATATATAGTTTAGCTGACGCTGTTAACTCAGTGGGGTCTGAACATCGCACTGTGAGTGAATTAAAAAAGAAATGGTCCGGTGTAAAGTTGCAGGTTAAAAGGAGAACAGCGGCGCACAGTCACACTTTACTGTCTGGAGTAGTATCCATGTCTGTGGAAGACACAAATGTATTAGCGGAACACTTTATTAGGGTGTATAGCAGCTCCTCTCTGCTCTTATCAAGGCAGCGCTACCTACATTTCAGCTGCCCAATTGCCCACTGACCGAGTGCGAGAGTGGGCATCATTGTATCTGCGCTCTTGGTCAGTTTGTGGGTTGTTGAGGGGTGTTAACAGCCACGTCTTTAATGGATAACCGTGGTCTCCAGATATGCAGTTAAATAATTACACACAAAAAAATAATAAAATAAAAACTTATCTGGATTAATCAAGAACATCAGTATTTATTTGTAAATCACATTTAAAAACAACCAAGGTTGATCAAAGTGATGTACATAGGAGTGCAAAAGACAGAGAAGCAGAATATTAAAAAAACATTTAACAAATAAAACCAATAAAACAGTTATCAAGGAGTATTCAAAGTGATAGAAAAGAGATAGGTCATTAAAACAGACTTAAACACAGAAATGGAGGGGTAAAGTCTAATAATATCTTTAAATACATCACTTACCAAGAAGCCACCCATCGCGCACCCTGCCACCTTGGAGCCTCGAATGTCTTCTAATAAGGCCAACACTGCCATTGCCATTGACTAAGGGTTGTATACATTTGCAAATGCTTGTATATGTTCTAAATCACATAATTGGTTAAAAAAAAAAAAAAGTATATATATATATATGTGTGTGTGTGTGTGTGTGTGTGTGTGTGTGTGTGTGTGTGTGTGTGTATATATATATATATATATATATATATATATATATATATATATTTATTGTGTCAATTAACCCATTTTATCAATTAAGAATTAATAGCAATGTTTTTCACATGTGTTGGTGCAATACTTTGTAGTGCAAAATAATTGCCTCTAGGAGTTGCCAATACGCTTATTTCACACGGCTGCCATTTTAAAGAACCAAAGCGAGGCTGCGGTGGGAAGAAACCCGGAAGTATAGGATCAGCACTGTAAACATTGCAGTAACATGCTGTGGACTACAAACCTCCAGCTGTTGCAGAGATTTCAAAATGCAAAAATGGTGTGAACATCACTTTAATACCATTCAGATCAGTTGAATTTAAACAATTAAAAGCAATTTAGCATCAAACAACATCACAATCTCTTTAAGAGTGATACACCAAGGCTTCAGCTTATGGCACCAGTTAAACATCGTGGGGACGCTTTCCTGCTTCAGCCTGTGTCACCGGGTGAGCGATATAACACTGCATTCCTCTTTAGCGCATCTTCGTGTTGTTTGTAATAGTGTTGTCCCGGTACTGAAGTTTCAAAACCGTCAATTGACTCGACTGATCTTCACGGCTGCTTCGCGCTAAAGTCTCCGTGTATCTGTGTTTGCACTCTTCATTTTACCGCTCTTCGACCCGTGCAAACACAGATACACGGAGACTGGAGCGCAAAGCAGCCGTGAAGATCAGTCAAGTCATCAAGCAGATCGCTCGTCTGTGTTTGTGCTTGGTAAACAGCGGTGGGTGAACGGATGACCTTCTCGGCCAATCACAAGCATTTCTGTTGAGCATGTGAACACAATCAGCACTGTTTTAAGAGCCATCAACAGTGCCTTAAATGTTAGTGGGTAATAGACGTTAAAGGTTAAAGTCAGTATTGTGACGAGTCTAATATAGTGAAAAAATTGGTTCATTTACTCAAGTTTGATAAATGACATCTAAAAAGTGTGTTTCAGAAAAAAAAACTTTAGCTAACTAGCGCAATTTCCCTTGACGTAGCTGAAAATGAGCTCTGATATCCCTTTTTATTTTCACCATTCATTCAGAACGGATGTTCAGGTCGCTCGGAAGGTGGCGAAATGATAAATGTGTGTCACTTTCTCTTCGCTGGTAAGGTATTCAGCCAGGTACACAACATTCCTATGTAACCCCAATGATACTTCTGGGTTTCTTCCCACCGCAGCCTCAATTTTGCTTTTAAAAATGGCAGCCACTTGAAATCAGTCTGTGGATAAAACAAACACACAAGAGATACACGTA